TACCCCCACGATGCAAGTACTATGGAATGGGGAACTGTGAGATCTCATGAAAGCTAGCATGTCAAGCTAGCTGGTGGAAAAAGTCCCACATCGGGGATGGTTGAAGGTGATGATCAATATATAAGCTTGAGCTACCTGGTCTACTAGTAACTTGGGTTAAGCATTTTGAGTACAGCGAGGCCAAACACCCAAATAGTTATGGGGACAAACCTGACAATTGGGGCGTTACAATTTAACCACAATTTCCTATTTCTGCATCTTTTCTCTTGATTATTAACTACTTCAAAAAAATCTTATTTATATTTTAAAGGACCCTTAATGATTATCCCGAGGTTATGGCTTTTGCTCTTACTAACTATACTCCCCCGCCAAAATATAGGTAGGATCTAATACTGAAAGGCTTATGTCAAGTGAAGGATATCAAACCAGAAACTGTCTAACACAAAAAAAGTGAATAAGACTTCCCTAAACTTGTTATATTAACCAGAAAACGTTAATAAACTAGAAGTCTTCTACCATAAAATAAATAAATAAATAAATTTAATTGAATTGAAACTCTAAATTTTTATACTATTTTTTCTTCATTTCAAATTTTTGTAGAAGAGTAAGTCTGCATGAATTGCTTTTTTGAAATTCGAAAATAATATATACAAAATCATCAATGATTCTTTAATTCAATATTAAAACTGATTGATTTGAAAAGATTTTTCAATTGGCTTGAATAATGTCATCACATATTGGTTTGATCATTAAACAATATTAATGTTTTTTTGAAATTTGAAAAAATTAAATATAAAATCACTCTAATATTAAACCATTCACTTTATTTTAACACAATCAAATATAAACATATGCCTAAAATCACTCCAATCGCATTAATCATGTGACTAAAATTATTATGTATATATAAAGGGTGCTTATAAAACTCAACTGACTTGCAATCTCAGTTTACACCGGAATCTTTTCTTCTTCTTCTTCTTCTTCTTCTTCTTCTTCTTCTTCTTCTTCTTCTTCTTCTCTCTCTCTCTCTCTTTTTTTTTTTTAGAATTTACCTTTTTTTAATAATAATTATTTTTTGTGTCAAAAGTTTTTCGCTTCTAACTTTTGCAAGTTGTGGTCAAATATTTTTTTGCAGCAAGAATTTTCAAATGCACATCCACGGTGAGTTTCTTTGCCAATTTTAATTAATGATTTCAATGTTTGATTTTTTTTTTTAGGGACATCATGGCGAAATATATGATGATGATTCGCGAAAATGAAATTAGAGGGCATAGTGATAGGTAGACCCATTTAACTGTCAGGTATTAATATGAAACCTTTGTTTCAAATTTTTTTAAAAAAATTATTTTACCGTATGGTATAATTTATTTCTTTGGAGGATCTTAGACAAATGAATTAGAGAAGCCATCGTGGTTCTAGAGATATGGAGTCAATGGTGTGACCTATGGTGCTGTTGCCTACGCATAGTCATATTTTCTAGTTTGGCTCATGCGTTGGAAGGTCACTTTGAAATCTAAATCATCTCATTGAGTTCTAATGCTTTGTTCAGAATGATACAATATCATAAGTAACAAGAGTGGTCAAAGATGTCAAATTATGAATACAAAATATATTTAACATGTATATCAATATATGGATCCCTTTATTTTCTTTTGTAAATAAATAGTGCATCAAAATTACTTTTAATGTAATATTATTTAATTTAGTATTTTTAAATTGTATATCAGTTTACGAACGTATAAAATTTTTCTTTAATTTTTATTATGTTCGATTTTATACATAATTTATCTATCACGTACATTGTGCGGGTACCATCTAGTAAATAAATAAATAAATTTAATTGAATTGAAACTCCAAATTTTCATACTGTTTTTTCTTCATTTCAAATTTTTGTAGAAGAGTAAGTCTGCATGAATTGCGTTAAATTTTATCAGTCACAGCTACACTTTTACTCCTTAGTGTTTAGCTTCTGAAATTGATCCATCTCCCATGGCACTAACTGTATGGTTTCCTATTGCGAGTTTCCTTACAAGAGTTTAGGAATACATTGATTAGCTTTATTTTAAGTAAAACTAGATGCTTGGCCCAGGCAGATGTCCGGGCGCCCTTCTACTTTAATTTTGTATTAATAGATAAATGAATTCTTGATTTGAAAAAAATAAAATAACTACACATTTGGTTTTTTTCCCCTTTTTAGCCAAAAATAAAAATAAAAATAAAAAAATCATCTGCCAAAGGAAAAAAAATATTGAAAAGTACAACGATACAGAAATCATACAAAAGAATGTGGAGTAATAAATGGGATAAGTTTATGGGCAAATTTAAATATTATTTTAATTTGATTGGTAAATGATAAATGTTAGGAATTAAAATTGTGTAGCTATTTTTATAAAGTAACTTTTGTTTCTCCAGATAAGAATTTTTTTTTTCTTTTAAAAAGGGATGACACGTGGCAGAATGGTTAATGCAATATGGTGCATTTGGAGCCAAAAATTTTTAATAAGAAATTGCCACATCAACATCTTGTATTCTGCTTTAATAGGGTAAAAGAGATAAAACGACGAAATTTTCATAAGGAGGGGGGCTGTGAGACCCCACAGTTTAAATACCTAAATTAAGTATATTAATACTAAAGTTTAATAGGAATAATTTAACATGGTAGTAAATATGTTATAAATAATTCTGATTCAAGCTTCTAAGACATTTGAGGACAAAATATTTAAATAAAAAAAATCAGGAAGATTATAATATGTTAACTTCAAGTCCAGTATCTTAAGTAAACAAATTATTTATGAGGAAAAGTTGACCCAACTTAATTATCTGGTGGTGGGCTAAAATATCATTTCATTATATCTTGGGAGGAAAATAGATTAAAGAACTAAAAGACTAAAAAGAAGGGACCAGAGCCACTTTTACCATCGTCATTACCATTACATACCCATCTTCTTCCTTTTTCTCCCATTTTCTGCATCTTGTCAAACAAACGATCAGCTCGCCCAAACCCCAACCCACGATCATCATCATTCCGTTTTCATCCTTAATTCTTCTTCTTTTTCTTTTTATTTTTCAAAAATTTAAAAAAATAGTTATCAAAAATATAAAGATTAATTGTCAAATCATTATATTACGAATACAATTTGAAATCAAGTTTAGATACATCATATATATGCTAATATTATGTTTTAAATAATTTCATTTGGTATATTTTCCAGAAAGAAAAAGAGTTTAATTACAAAAACTAAAAAGAGATTAGTTAGTAAATGATTATACTACGTACGTATACAATTGGGATCAAGTCTATATCCATTACACTTAGATTAACATTATTTTTCATTATTCCATTTGAGATATTTTTCAAAGGTAAAAAGAGATTAGTTGTAAAATATTATATTATGAATACAATTTGAAACCAAATCTAGGTACATTAGGTTAATATTATTTCTCATATGATTTCATTTGATATATTTTTCAAAAATTAAAAAAAATAGTTATAAAAAATAAAAGAGATTTAGTTATCAAATTATTATGTTACGAATACAACTCGAAACTAAATCCGAACACATTAAATGTGAATGGTTAGTATTATTTTTTTAAGATGGTTCCATTTTAAAATACCCTTTAAGGCTAAGAAGTACTTGATCAAAGTGGTAACAGTATTGGACCAAATTAACTACAATCCATGATTAAATCCGTGCGTGGGCATGCAGTAATGATTGCTGTGAGAGGTTTGTCTTCCAAAAGTGACCCCCGATTCGAAGACGGATTAGTTGGAATAATGATTTCGAACACCGGATATACTATATACCAAAACGGAAAAAAAAACATATGACACTCTTGAATTTGGACCCTGAATGCCTAATATACCAAAAAACGAGAAAACTAAAACACATGACACTTTTTATAGGAAAATAATGATATATTAATGTTACTCTAAAATATAGTAAAATCCGCACGTCGTGCGGGCATAATATTAGTATGACAAGATTGAGAAATATTAATTATTCCCTCTATCCCATAATTATTGTCCAGTTATGATTTTCATTTTTAGTTCAAATTGTACTAAAAGTAAAATCTTAAACTGGACAATAATTATGGGATAGAGGGAGTAATTTTTTTAAAAAAATAATCAGTGATGATGAAACCCAACAGAGTCTCACTTGTGTTGGACTTGTAGTCAATAGTCATTATTTTTTTAAAAAAAAAATTGGTCTGTCAACACAGACCCATTCAACTCTGTGTGTCCAAAGATCTCCATTGCTTTGGTTAACAACGTTATATGTTTTTATCAAACTCTGTGTGTGTCTGTGTGTGTGTGTTTGTGTGTGTGTGTGTGTTTTGGTTTCAGAATTCAGAGTTTTGAGGGATTTTCGCCAAGCCGAGTTTTATGTAACTTGAATATCTGGGTAGATTTTTCTTCGTGTGTGAATGTGTGTTTTAAATCTCCTTTGGTTTGAACTGATATTCCGCAATGAAATTTAGAGACGTCACATTAGGACTCTATTTCCATTTAGAAGGCCTTTTAGCCGCCTATGAGATTTTAGTTTTTGGAGACATTTAGCAGCTCAATGGAATATATAAAGCTCTTGTTGTAGTATCTTGCTTTTTGTTTTTTGACTTGAACACAATTACAAGGTTCATGACACTACCATTTATTTCTCCCTCTTGTTTTACAATACAAGTTCTTTCTGCGTGAAAAAAATCAGCAAATTATGTATCAAACCTTATAAAATATTATGAAGAGTGTAGCAATAAAGATGGTCCTACGTGCATTACATTTGTTAATAACATGAATTCATAATTTTGCTTGTCTTCATTATCTTACAAATTTTGTAAGCATCACGCAAAACTTAATTGAAGGTTGTTAAATGCTAGGAAGTATACTTGCGATGCATCATATTTTTTTCCTTTCTTTTTCATTCAGTAAACATGTTTTTGGAGACTAACTTTCTCTAGAACTTTTTCCTTTCAATTGCTAACTTTCTTTGTATTTTTCTGTCATGATGTTTACAGGGGGTACGCCCTTATCACATGCAGTTGAGGGAGAGCATAAGCCAACAGTAATTTATCTCATTAATAATGGTGCAGATCTTAATAAAAGTGATTCGGATGGGATCACTCCATTGCATTCTGCAGTTAAAAAAGGTTGGACTCCCTTCTATATTGCAGTCTCCATTCTATTCCTACACAGAAAGTAATGACACTCTTGGTTCTATAAATATCCTCCGATGTTACTTACAGTAAGGCTATTTGTAGGGTCCACTGAGTTGGTGAAGCTCTTGATCTCGAAAGGGGCTGACATCTCTGCCAGTTCTATATTTGGGACACCGTTACATATTGCTGCACATTGTGGAAGACTTGAAGTATTAGAATACTTGTTGGAGCTGAAGGCAGATGTAAGCTAAACTTTCATATATTTTCATACTACTCTTGTGTTGTTGAAGGATAGTGGACACCTTGGTTTTCAATATTTTGGTTTGTAATATGTTACTCTTTATGGGGTTATTTGGTGAGATATTAAGTTCGTTAATTTTCATTAAGATTTGAAGCATCTAGATCATGCTATATTGTGTTTGGTTTCACTAATTCTGTCTGACTAACCTTTTGGCATAAGGAAATATGTTTGTTGCTTTTTAGCCAAACAGCGTACATTTTTTAGCTGTACACGTATATACATTTGAATTGAGTCATAACTCATTAGATTGTTATCCATGGTCATTAATATCTTCTTTTTCCTGGTGTAGCCAAATTCTTCAGGTTGCTGTATGTCTCCACTTTTACTTTCCATGGTTGCCAAATCACTTCATTGCATGGAGCTGTTACTGAAGGTGTGCTTCATTTTTTGAGTGCTGGTTGAAAGTTTATGATCTAACAATCTGAAGTAAGTTATGCTCATCGTTTGGGTAGGCTTACTTGTTATATGTGTCATATGCTATATATGTCATGCGACTCATCACATGTAAAAACCATCTTTTTAGAGCTTTCGCTGTTTGCACTATTTGAAGCAGTAAGACAATAACAACCTGAAAGGTACTCCTCAAAATGGACAAACGAATACCATCCCCTTTATACGTTCTTTGTTTAAACTATTCAAAGTTTTGGAAAAGAAAAAACTGAATCATTCAGGTTAATCATGAGTTTTTATTTTTTTTGAAAACGGGTTAATCATGAGTTAATGTCTATTTTATTGTGGGACAATAATGATTCTGATCAATTTATTCTAATTATCGAAATTTGGATTAGTTTTGGCAATGTTTAAATTTTTTTTTGTTCTACTGCTTATTGTTGAATGGTGGTGGGATCAAGTTCATAACAGAATTGAAAGTGCCTATAAGCTTTGTCAGTGTGATGAGTTCCAAGATATAATCAGAGGGCATGTATGGGTTTCTTGGGAGGCTAGCACATCCAGTCATTACTTAGATGTCTTTTAAACATTTTTCTTGAAAGTTAAATAAGGAATGTTGCCAACCTATATTTCAAAAGAATCTTGCTTTTAATACTATATTCTGTTGAGGTCAAATGTTGAATATTTTAGATTATATGTGATTTCTCATCATTTTCTTGAAAAGATATTATATCCCTGTGGAAAACATTGAAATGAATATTGCATTTTGATCTAGTTAGCCAAGAAGTTTAAGTACCCATTCCTATCGGTACTCATCTATGATTTTTATTTAAGACAGGCAGGAGCTGATCCCAATAGGGTTTCCGTTCCCATGACACCTCTTATTTATGCTGTTACAAATGGAGAAGAAGAGACGATTCCCTCCCTTTTAAAAGCTGGTGCAGATCCTAACCTGACAGACTTTGTGAGTTACCTATTAGCGGTCCTCATTAGCTTCTTGTTCCTGTTTTCTTTTTTTGTTGCTGTTGGAAATGGATATTTTACCCATTTATCTTCCTCGTTGCAAGAATGATGCTGTCTTTATCTTGGATCCAAGATTATATGTGGATAGCTCTTTATGTATTCTTTTTTTCTTTATTTTAAGATATTATTTCTTTTTATCAAGTTTATGGTGCTTAAGAGTGTCCTTAACACAACTATTTTTGCATCTTCTTGGTTTGAAACTAGTTTTCAGTTATTTGGTGATTCTTCTAAATAAATAAAATTTGAATCGTGGCTTCGCAAGTAAGAAGATATTCTTTTTTCTCTTTGATTTCCCCTTGTTTCCAGATTTGTTTCCTTATTTAAATTTATGAATTAACATTCCGGAGTGCAACACCCTAGTAATTTTATCACCATGTTGGATGATTGAAGCTGACGTGCTATGATAATGCCTCATTGGAATTGCAGCTGGGTAAAACGCCACTAGAACTAGCAGCGATGTATGGGTTCATTAAGGGGGTTATGATTTTGTTTCCAGTTACTTCACGCATTGCATGTTATCCTGATTGGAGCCCTAGAGGAGTAATGCAGCATGTTCATTCAGCAGAAGCTCTAGAACAGGTTCTGTTGGATTATCTTCTCACTTGATTTGCAGCTTTATTTCCTTGTATGTGCTATTAATAGATAGATGGCCTTATCCGTGCTACTCTTAAAAATTTACCAAATGTTGTCATTAGACAAGGTTCTTGGTTGATATTTCTATTGTAACTGTTAGACTACTTCGATACTAGTCAATAAGAGCATCGCGCCACTTGATGCTGTCATGTCTCCTGATCTTTCTTCCGTCCTGCCTGAGATACAATGCGTAGCGTTTCTTTCATTTGTTATGCTCTGTTATGATTGTAAGCAATATGTACAATTTTATGATTCCAATACAAGAAGATTGTATGCCTTCCCTCATGTTTGCATGTTTGAGGAGCTAGAAACTAGATTAGGGTTTTCTTTTTCTCTGGTGAAAATCATTACTTTTTTCAAATAACATGCAAGATGTTGACATTTCACGATAAAAGATTGCATAAAGGTAGTGTCATTTTGAAGATGGAAAGGGTACTATTTATGATATCTTTGTTCTCACGTCAAGGTGAATTAGTTTTCTCATTGTTTTATCGGTTGTTGCTACTTATGTTAACATTTGTGGTTCTTATGTGCTTATTCATAAAGTTCACTTAGAGTTGTTGATCCAGAGGTGCAAGTCTAACTCAAAAGATTCAGTGCATATTCTTTGTATTATCATGGTGTAGTTGCTTTCTGAGGCAATCTTTTGTTTGCTTGCCCTGTTATGCAGAGTAAGTTGAAGCAGAAGGAGCTCTTTTCTACAGCAAAAGCGAATGGAAGAGATGCATTTGAGAAAAAATATTTCTTCGAAGCGATATATTGGTATACACAGGTGATTGCAGTAGCCCTCTAGCCAGAGTACATAGTCTAAGTTGAGGTTACGTTTAGGCTGAAATGTGCCAATGCATTTCTGGTTTTGCCTTTTGGGTGTGTCTGTGTTGGGCTTTTCATTTCATTATTGGTTTTCTTAAGTTTGTAATTTAATTATAGGGTGCATGATTCCTATTATTTCGCATCTTATGGAGTTTTTGATCTGTATGAAGCAGGCATCTCAAGCCAAGCCAGCTGATGCAAGAGTACTATCTAACAGGAGTTTGTGTTGGGCTCTATTAAAGGATGGCAAACGTGCTCTACCTGATGCACAGGCATCTGTTGCTTTGGGGCCTAGCTGGCCGAAGGCACATTATAGAGAGGGTGCGGCATGGAAACTTCTTAAGGTAGGGGTCTAAAGAATTTTTCATCTTCTTTAGGAAGAATTTAGAGAGAATCACAAAGGACCGTTGACATTCTCGTTACCTCCTCATGTGCAGAAATATGACAAGGCAGCAGAAGCATTTTCTCGGGCTTTGGCTCTTGATCCTCATAACCAAGATATCGAGAAGGAATACCGGTAAGTGATTTTCTTGTACACAAAATAGCTTCTCTATCCTTGATCTCGTCATTGAGTTTGTTAGCATTTTCTCTAGTAACTCGATACATTGGTGGTGACAGGGCTGTGCAGGCTAAATGTGGCAAGTCCAACCATTAGGCAATGGAGTAGACTTGAAAACTATCAAAGTAATAGCACAACATACTGTGGGATGTAAGATGCCCAAGTTGCTCAAATTTTGTACAGCACTTCTGCTTTTGTTGATAATCGACTTGTAGAAGAACACAAGGCAAATTAAAGGGGGCCTTATTTGTTATGATGCTTAGAAGTGCTGGGTTTTATTGCAGCCTAACTCGAATTTCAGCCTAGTAGCCTTATGCTTATGTATGACAGAAACTCTTCCGCAGCATCATTGCTAGTAAGAATTTGGCTATTTTAGTTTATCCTCCGCCATTTTTCTCCATAAGATATTTTTATTCGGGTTAAGAAGTTTGGGCTCCATTTGGGCAAGAGTTTTGAAAATTTGTTTAGAAAAGTCTGTTTGAACCAAAACTTAAAAAAGTACTTTTTAGAAAATAATGCATTTGGACAAGAATTTTTCAAAACCCTTTTAGTAATTAAAAATATTAAAAAGTCATCTGGTGAGATTTCAGATGAAACAACAGCCCCAGAAGTGATTGCAGATGCTTGAGTCAATGAAACAGAAGATTCTTGTGATAGTAATATGTCGAAAATCATATCTAAGAAACAACTGAAATCCATTGAGCGTCTACAAACAAAACTGCAAACTTCATCAATTCGAAAAATGTGCAAAAATTTTCCATAATAGATAAACAAATTAACTTATTTATATGACATGATTGAGAAAAATGACTAAAATATTTAAGAAGGAGAGGAAGAACAAAGACCTACTTATGTAGAAGATATCTAAGCTCGCCCTCTGGTCCAAGACCGATTGATGTGCCCTTTATAAGATCCAACAACACAAAACCACAGGTCAGTATGATTAACATTGTGAAATTAATATGAGCAAGTGGTATTTCAAATGTGCCTTAGAATATAACTTACCGTGATTGTAGAGCCCATGTATGACGGAATGCAGTCTTAAAATTCTCACAGAAGTCTTGGTACACTTGAATTGGAGTATTTCCGTCAAGAACATAAAGTTCATCCACACTTAACGACAAACAGTCTTTATACTGCTAGCCAAACCGATCAGAAAAGAAAATGTCTTGCTGAGATTGACCAATCTGAGAAACCCATTGAGGCAATGGAATGCGAGCTTCTCCAGATGCGTGAAAACAAAGCGATACGTGAAGCTTGAGGCCCATTTTCTCTACCATCTCTGCAAGAGCAAGATAGCATGTCCAATCGTACTGCCCCATCGCTTCCTTCTCAGCAACACCCCACCAGACTGGGAGCTCAACCCCATCGACTCCCAGGAACTTCAAAGCTTTCAACCCTGCTTCAATTGCTCGAGCATGATTTACCGTATTGGAGCTTCATAATGCATCCAATGGCAAGCTAGCAAACAATCTTAAGTCTTTGTCCTGCACAAGTCATGGAAAATTTTAGACTCTAGTTTCATGAATGCATTAACATGGGACACTAACTGAAAAGTTATATAATAAGATGTTCAGGCAAAGACAAACACAAGCAGAAAACACCTCTTGGGAATGTACATTATAACAGCGAAAATTCAATATCCATTCTTTACATTCTAGCAAAAAATTAAACAGAAAAATGAACAATTTAAAAAAAGCATAGTTCTTCCTTCAAACCAGGCTACATGAGACACAAACACCCAATATGTTGGCTTTCTAGTTGACATAAAACTATCTGTCTCATTTAGTTTTCTGATCCAACAAAAAGGAACTTCATTCTAAACCATAACTTTTCAACTTATACTCAATTTTAGGCTGGAAAACTCTAATGAACACAGAAATTTAAACACTTTCAGCTAATTTTCCATATCAAAACAACTGTGAATTATCCCTGCTTTACCTCCCGGGATTAAAAAAAATAACATTCTAAAAATAATCCTAAAAGAACTACGCGCTAACACCCGAGCAAGGAATTAGAGACTTTAACTTCAATTGCATCAACACTAGTTCAACAAGACATTCATCGAAATTCCCAGATTAAATAACGTAAAATGGAATGGAAAAAACTCAAGAATACAGGGGGAAATGAAAAAAGATGCTTACAGCTTTGGAACTTTTATTTGCAGAAACCTTCTCAGATACAACAGCTTCAACTTTAGAAATGGCAGAAGCGTTACAAATCAAGGGAAGGAAAGATCTTGAAGACCATGGAACGCTACTTTGACCAAGCCAGACCATTGAATTCTTCTGGGAAGAGATCTTAGCAAAGTTCAAATTTCTGCTAAAATTGCATAACCCAACTTCTTTATATCCCAAATCCATCCGGGCAAGATTCATCTGAGAGCTTCCAACCATTGAAATCATCATTTTGATCTACAAAAACTTTTTAGATGTCTGGATTAAGCAAATTTGATATCTTATCCAAAATTATCAAAGAGGAAAAACTTCAAAACTGTATCTAAGAACAGTTAAAAGGGCCCTCTGAAAGAAAAATGATCTCGGAAACAATAACTCCATCACAAATTCTGAATAGAAATTCATGATTAAAAACATAAAGTGATTTGATTTTCGGTATAGGGAGATGAGGGTTTAGAGAGACAGGGTAAAAAAAAGGGCGGCTTAAAGGGAGTAATTTTTTTTTCGGTTTCATAATTTTGATTTCATATTGTCGATCGCCGGTGGGTGCTGGATCGACCGCCGGTGCCGCACGGTTGAAGGAGAGAGAATGAGAAAGGGGCGGCGGGTAGGGTATGAAGAGAGTGAGAAAGGGCAGTCTTTTCCCCTTATCTACATGACCCGTTTTTTTCATAACCCGACTTTGACCCGGATTTTGACCCGCGAACGGAGAAAAAAGCTCTGTTTCAAAAAATTAAAAAATACCCCCTACCTATTTTCTAAAAAGTCTATTTCAAATCTTCTTTTTTTCAAATTGATGTTTAGAAAAGACTTTAATTATTTTGTCCAAACGTATTTTAAACTCTAAACAGACTTTTTAACTTTAAAAGTCTTTTTAAAACTCTTGTCCAAATGGAGCCTTGAGTTGCAAAGGTTCATAACTTGTGGTGGCTTGGGTAAAGAAAGGATACCCTGAGAAAGCTTTAGTGTTCTGAAATGAAATCCTTTCAATATTGTGCCAGCTTTAATGGGTCGTTATCTATTTTTGGGATAGGGACAAATACCTCCTGAGTTTTGTCTCAAACCCTAAAATCCCTTGAGTTTTCATAAAAGGACAAATACCCACAAGACCATTACACCCCCTTTGAACACAAAAAGACTATAATGCCCTCAATATGCGTGGGGCCCTTTTTTTCAGTTATTGCTTTTTTTAATTTTTTTCTTTTTTAAAATTTTTTTTACTTTATTTCGTTTAATTATTATTAGTCCAGTTTTTCTTTTTTTTTTAATTTTTATTTTTTTTACTTTATTTAGTTTAATTATTTTTACTTCCATTTTTCTATATAACTAGCCATGCTTACCAATAATATTAAATTTATGTTTTTGTAAATTTATGTTTTTTTTTATTTATGTCTCATCTTTTTTATTTATGTTTTTGTAATTTAATTAAATTTAAATGAGTAATATTAATAATAGTTTTTTATGTAAATGAAATTTTATTTAGTGTTAATTACATCTTTGAAATGTATTTATTAATAATAATTTTTATGTTGTAATAAATATAATTAAATTTAATTTAGCATATGTTGATTCATAATAATATGTTATGTGTTATTAAATGTTGTTTATGTAAATGAAATTTAGTGTAGTGTTAATTAACTATTCTATAAAGTAATTAAATTTAAATTATAAATTATTAACTAGGTGTGTCGTACTTAATTTAATATACTTAGTTGTTTAGATATTTTTTTATGTATAATTAAGTTTGTCAACTTTGATATTTCATTACAGGATTATGGTGGTGATGGTGTTGATTATAATTATCATTTAGTATTAGATTTGCAACTATTGATGATGCTATAGAATGGGCGAAAAAGGACTGCGATATCTTTTTGTTTTGTAGTAAAGGGGAGAAACAAATGTTTCTAATATTAATTCTGATTTTTGATGCCCAACTATTACATTTGACTCGCTATATATAAGCTGACCGCATTTTTGTTTAATTGCAGTTCAGTCCTCCATTATCTACAAATATTAAACAATGCCGGGACATGACATTCTCCCGTTGATTGAACTGGGCCGAGAAGAGTGCAAAAAATAGACTCATCAATATGGACTTGAATTTTGAACTAAAATGCAAAAGGAAAAAAACACGTTAAAACTTGTCATTTGTCAATCATAGAATTAAATCGAAGAACGTGGAATTGGACAAAGAAAAACGATACTCTCAACGACCTTCTTTCACGAATCTGATGTGTAACAGTTGAACTGGCACATGGTGGTCCCATATTATTTGCTTTCAGTACTCTTTCTATTTCGAAAAATTATTCCATACAGTAAATATATCTTTTTTTAGTGTAGCAACACATTCATTATATTGAAAAATATCATGGTCTCCCTAATTTTGTAGTAACTTTCTCAGTAAAATTACAATCTTACTCTATTTATGTGAATTAGTGGTAATTTTCTCAGTAAAATTACAATCTTACCTTATTTATATGTCTGGCTACACAATTCTACATGGTACAACAGCTGTCTGAAAGATTTTCTCCTCTTTTTTATTTTTTTTTTAATTTTCCCAACTATTCGACCTTCTTCTCTATCCTTCCTCTGTTTACATAACATCAAAATTCAACAAACCAGCCTATCTGCTTTGTTACTTCTTTATTATTCTATAAATCCACATGAATATTTTCACGCTTTATCCAAGAAAGGTCTCCCCAGGAAGGAAATTAGATATTAAATTTAGTTCATGGACTTTTGAGATTTTGATAACAAAAATTGAGTACACCCCAGTACGGTATATAATTGGGGAATTTAGTAGGAAGAGGACTTGAAGAAATTACGTCGGATTTGAGATAAAAAATGTGAAACTCCCTTGAACAAAACATCGAATCTTGCCTAGAAAAAGAAAAAAAAAAAACAGAGAGAGAGAGAGAGAGAGGAAGAAGAAGAAGAAGAACGTGCATTCGCCCAGATCTAACAAGTTGATCCAACACGAAGCGGCGGCTATGGTTATTCAGAGTTCGCAGGAGGGGATGACAGCTTTGAAATGGTGGCTACGACCGAATGTGGTGCTGATTTTGATGATTGATTATCAGCATGAAGATAACTGGTGGGAGAAAAGGAGGAAGGGAGGGAGAAATGTTTTTGCCAACAAAAAGAATGAAAGAGTTAGAAGAGGAGGGACCGGCGGCGGCGGTGATGAGTGAATGAAGAGAGAGCGAACAAGATTGAAAGAGAGAGAATGTAAGTTTAAGAATTACGTAAAAAATTGAAGGAAAAGAAACAAAGGATAAGAAAGTCAGACGTGGAAGACAACTCAGCAAGACACATTGGTCGTTGATGACTTCGTTAAAAATACTTCGTTGAGCCTATCACGACTCTTGGCCAAAACCGTCTAATTTTCACACTGTCATTATACTCCATTTACCTTTTCCGCCCCGCAGTAATAAAAATAATTACCCCTGCCATTTTGGCGCCTTTTTTTATTTAGGACGGAACAGCCATTAATAGGAAAGAACTTCCACCTTCATTCATCATAGCAGCCTTTTAGTATTCACTTTCACTCTACAATTCTTCATCTTCTCGTCGATCTCACTCTCCTTCTTTTAGTTCGGCTGCCTTCAAATCAGTGTTGACGGAGCATGGAGCCTCCTCCCGGTTCGTGATTGCTACCAAACCCTTTCCATTTTTTTTTTTTTTTGATGATTTAATCTTGGTCGAGCTTCCGTCATCTGCTTATGTGTAACTGTAAGTCTGATTTCTTCCAGGATTTCGAGAGGCCTTTCGTCATTCCCTTCTGTATTGTAGTCTTCAATTCTGTGTATTTCTACGCAGCCAGTAATGAAACTCTTGGTTGTATACATATCCTTGGGTGTTACTTACAGTAAGGCTATTTTTAGGGTCCATTGAGTTGGTGAAGCTCTTGATCTCGAAAGGGGCTGATATCTATGCCAGTTCTGTGTTTGGGACAACAGTGCATATTGCAGCAAATTTTGGAAAATTTGAAGTTTTAAAATACTTGTTGGAGCTAAAAGCAGATGTAAGCTCATATTTTCAGAGTTCAGACTACTCTTGCTTCGTCGAAGGATAGTTGGCCCCTTATTTTTCAATGCTCTTTTCCTCTCTATGCTTGCTAAATCATTTGATTGCATGGAGCTGCTTCTAAAGGTGTGCTCTGTCTCTTGAGTGGTGGTTGAAAATTTATGATTATCCAATATGAATTGAGTTTTCCTCATACACTTGGATTGGTGTTACTTATTTGGAGTATTCCAATAATAAAGATCTCTAGAGTACACGTCAAAATCGTTGGAATGATATTAGAAGTTCTTTATAATTTCTCCATTTAAACTATTTAAGTTTTAGAAAACTAAAAACTGAAATGGGTCCTGTGCATACCCTAATGGGACATCATTGCTAGTAAATTTAACTATCTTTAGTTTCCCATACTCCCCACACTATGTTTTGATTCAGGATGAGAAGCGTTTGAGATGCCAAAGTTTTGCTCTAACTTGATGCAAAATTTTTGCGGTGGCTTGAAGCCTTGAACCTCTTCAAATCATTCGGCTAAAGAATTAAGAAGTTAAAAACAAACAACCAAACCGAAAAAAATAAATAAATAAAACCCTGATCATATTAATTGTCTATAGAACTTTAATTATGCTCGACTTTATTAAATAAGAAAGAAACTACAAGTTAAGCATCGGGCGATTAGTTTGCAAGTGGAGTATCTTATTGGGAAAACTAATTAATCCTATGCAAGTAATCTCAATGAAAATAAGAGAACCATGAAGACCAAAAGGACGTTCCAACAAAAACTTCTTCTAGCCTCCATGAGAGTACTCCAACTCGAACTATCCCTATGATCATGGTTGAAATTAGGATTTGGCTTATACAATCGCTGTATCCCAGCCACGTCATCTGCATTGAGTTCCACCTTTTTGATCTGAGAGAGGACAATTGGGTACATAACCGACTCATTAACCGTAGAATGGTCCAGTCCGAGTATGTGACCTATCTCATGTACCGCCACTGATTCCAAATCGAAGGCCACTGGCGATGCTTTTAGTTTCTCTTGATCCACGACCCACATTTCAGCTGCGTCAAAATGGAGTATCCCGAGTTCTGGTGGGATAGAGTGGGCCAGTATTCCTCCCGGGCCATCGAATATGACTGAGTCATTGTGATATCCGGAGTAGAACCCAATCTTGATGTCCGCTTTAAGTACATTATCTATCTCTACGAATGTT